TAACATTTATTGTTTATATTAATGTTTGTCATTTTATTGATGTCTCTAAATCTTCTCTCTTGTTTATATTAAAAAATACTACAGTTATTATCTTTATCATGCTGAAAATGTTTTAGATTCTGAAGGATACAAGTATTTTATGTGCAGAAGATGGATAATATGACAGGGGTTTGTTGACAACTTGTGCACATGATTAATATTTGTAGATGCTGCTTTTGTTTCCCTACCTATTTGTTTTGAAAGCTTGTCATTGTTGACTATGACATTCTGTCATGAGCTTTGTTTAGCACTATCTAAACAGCAGCCTCAGAGCTCTGTGTTAGAGATAAATTGACTACTTGTCAAAAGCGTACTTGTCAAAAAAGTGTGGTCAGTGATTACTGTCACCACAGACCGAGACCTTAAGTCACTGAGTCTGTCTTTATTATGAATCCTCGTCTGGGCAGTGTACAACCTCACCTTCTGCAAACTTTTGAGACCTCATTCAGGAGGCTTCAGCAAACTATTCAACAATCTACTGAATTGACCATCAGTGGAATGCATGTTGTGAAGGTTTAAGTATTGTTGTGAAATTGTGCATTAACCTAGAGCAAGTGAAATGGTGGTGTTAATGGCTCTTATTGCTTCAGAATGCAGACTACACCACTGGACAGGTGTTTGACTTGTCTGAGAAGCTTGAGCAGGCAGAAGCTCAGCTGGGACGTGGCAGTTTCATGCTGGGCTTAGACACACATGATAGGAAATCTGAGGACAAACTAGCAAAGGCAACACGAGACAGGTAATACAATATCCCTATCAATTCAGTATTAAATTTTCCCTTTCTTAATATATTACCAATTATGAATAAGTGGAAATAAACAAACCAGCCAAGGCAAGTTTATTTATTTCCAAATGTCATGCACACAAAAAAGTGCTTTATAGACAATCACAGTTCTAAATAAAATTATAAGTAGGTCCTACAACATATCAACTAGGTTGATTTTTGTTTTAATTAAGAACATTTTTAGGATGGTAATTTTGTTTCAGACATTTGAGTAAATATAAAAATTAAATGCATAAAGCTACATTAAAAAAATGTAAAACAATGTTTCTTTTCCCATTATTTTTAATTAAAAAATATATATATATGGCAGGAGGGTAAATTTGTATCATTTGAGTATTGAGAATAGAATATTGATTTCAGATTTATTTTGTGTGAGGTAATATGTGTTTTCCTTTTTTTGCTTGAATACAAATTTAAAAAGGTTGTTGTTTTAGACTTTTGGAATGAATATAAAATCAACTTTATAAAGCTGGATAAAAATAGATGACTTTTTTTGCTTTTCCCATCATTTTTTATTTATAAAAGATGATGTATTTATTTTAGTTTAATTGATTCATTGATTGATTAATTGGGCGTAAATTTGTTTCTTTTGGGTATTGAGAATAGAATACTGACTTCACATTATTATTTATAAAAGATTATTTATTTATTTATTTATTTTATTTAACATTTATTTATATTTATTTTGTGTGAGCTCATAGGTGACTTGAGTATCTGTTTAGGTGCAAGAGACCCCACTTGCAATACACCAGTGTATTGCAACTAATTAACACATTTTTATAAAAACATGATCAAACATCTTTCTTTGTTTTTCAGCTGCAAGACAACCATTGAAGCAATTCATGGTTTGATGTCCCAAGTTATCAAAGATAAACTCTTCAATCAAGTGAACACAGCTGCCAGCTGAACATGGAAGGAACTGAAGTTAGATGACTTCACATGCAGTGTTTGCTTAGTTATGTGTTATTTCGTTACGATTCTGCTTTGAAAGATTCAAAGGAATTCTCCTGTAGGAATGTTTGCATCATTTATCATTTGTTTAAACAAAGAAGTAAATGCTGTTCGGGTTCATTAGTTGACAGACATCAGGTGTTTTTGCTTCTTTTCTTAAACTTCATTTTTTAAATTTGTCCTCAAAATATAGCATCACATTTACTGCTAAAGTCTTGTCTGAAATTATAACTCGCACAGCTCATCGTCAAAGCTGTCCTTTAGATCAAGACAAATGAGTTTTCCTTTGCGCTGTATGTTAGCAGATGTTTGAAATGTATTCTCCTCTGGGTTCAGTGTGTAACACGGTACCGCTCCATTCCCATTTCCCACAGCTTGTGTCAGGACTCAGGAGCTGTAACAGCAGTATTCAACATTAAACTTAACAAAAACCACAGTGCTCCACAAGAGGTCATTTTCATATTTGCCAGTCATAGCATTACATAATGGAATAACAAACTCAGCAGCCCAAAGATAAACATAGCCTTGCATGGCCGCAGCGCATCTGTCAGGACGACCCTGTGCAGGTTGTCTCTGTGTTGTACACAATCCTTCAGGATTCTGAGCGTAACACTGGCCTGTCACTGATGCATCACAGAAGCGGGAGCTCGATACAGTGGAGTCTATTCAGCTCTGCGTGTCTGCTCTTTATCGCTGCAGACACTCAACGCCCGTGTGGTTTCATGCACACACACGTGCTTGCATTTTCTTACAGACAACAGCGCTGACTTCGTATTTATGCACTTTTTTTGTACCCCACATCATTGTGCTAATTTTAAGATTTGCTGTTATGTTCTGGAAAGCATCAGTCTGTTCAATTATGCCTTGTGCAATTTGTGGATTTTGGCCTGAAGTTGTAAGTATATATTTTTTTGCTCTTGCAATGGCGACCAATGTTTTATTCCATAGAGGATTAAATTAATTAAAGGAATAGTTCAGCCAAAAATGAAAATTTGTTGAAAATGTATTCATCATCAGGCCATCCAAAATGCAGATGAGTTTGTTTGTTCATAAGAAACAGATTTGGAGAAATTCAGCATTACAACACTTGCTCACCACCAATGGATGCTCTGCAGTGAATGGGTGCCGTCAGAATGACAGTTTAACAGCTGATAAAAACATCATAATAATCCACAAGACTCCAGTCCATCAATTAATGTATTTAGGCCAGCAGAAACGGTTCAAATGCGTGAATGATGTATTTGTTTCTTAAAACACGCAGCTTTCCACTTCAGAAGATGTTATTGATGTACTTTAGTCTTGTGAATTACTGGGGGATTATTATGTTTTCATCAGCTGTAACTCTCATTCTGACACCAACCATGCACTGCAGAGGATCCATTGGTGAACAAGAGATGTCATGTAAATTTCTCTAAATCTGTTCCGATGAAGAAACTAACTCGCGTATCTCTTCGATGGCCTGAGAGTGAGTACATTTTTAGCAAAATTTCATTTTTCCGTGAATTATTCCTGTAAAATCGTAGTCATCAAAAATCCCCCATGCTCTATATTTCACCCATTGGAATTACAAATGAAGCTTATAGTCATCACCAGATGAGCATTTTTAAAGAAGAAAAAAGCAGATGAGTATAAATGAGATGAGATATAGCTAGCCTAAGTATATTATGTTTTCCATGAATGATATCAGCCAAATCCATTAACTCAATTTTAAGGTATGTTTTCTATTAGCAAGAGTCTTCTTAAATTACTTGGAATTCCACTTAATTTGCTGAACCCAGAGAAAATGTTTTAAAATATGTTTTAAAATAATAGGAATTATGATAGATATGTGATTAAGAGAATATATCCGAGTGATGAGCACAAATAATCAGCAGTGACTATTGATCACAAGGCTAATGTTAAACTAGCCTTTGGGACCAATGACCTCCAGATATTTGGTAGCACTGATGTTTTCTTTGGACCATATAATAATAATCTCAACAAGCATGGTAGTAAGGAGGTGAAACATGTTCAATGCCCCAGAGGAGAGTCTGAAAAGGGCTGAACTCCCCCTCTGTGTTCCTAAACCAACCAAAGTAACATTTCCTTTCTACCAAGTATTCTGCATACATAAATGGAGGCAAGTCACTCAGTCTCAGGAAGCGCATTCCTCCACCATATATAACAATACTCAGCCCACCGCACTTCTCTAGAACTGATATGCATTATTAGGGACAGCGGTTTGAGCTTGAAATGAGAGAGGGGAAATTTTAAGTTCTTCCAGCTGAAGCTGATAAACATGGTTTCTGATTTCAACATGTAAATGCTTAAGGGTCTTGTCTACTTTAAGCCTCAAGGGTGGCCCTAGTTTTTGGTTTAAATCTAGTTTTTATTTTTCAACAATTGTGTTTCTCTCTAATCCTCTGCACACATGTATTTTAGTGTGTAATATAATCTCTTCACACACACACATATATATATATATATATATATATATATATATATCCCCTTCAGCCAAATAAGGAATGTTAAACAAAACTGTTTTTAATTTTTTATCAAATTTGCGTAGGTTTAAGATCAAAATCATAGACTTCGACCGTTCATTTGTCTTCTTCCTTTAATTAATCAATAAGTTAATTACATCTTAAATTACTTGTAACAAAAGCCTGCGCTAGCTTGAATTCCTAAAGCCAAATTACTTTTAACAACATCAGTAAAAACATTCTTTAACATTTTCACACAACAATACAAGCGATATACATCGTGTTCTAAAATTTACACAGAATTTAAAACAAGTAAAAACGTTTCACCATTTGTGTTGAGAATGTGTCATGCCGCATTTGAACTGCGCATCGAAACTACTCTGGCGCGTGCAAGCTGACCTTGCTCTCGCGTCTCGTCGCCATGGCAACATCAGCTCTCGCTTCCTAAACAAAGCCAAGACAAGACGCAAAAGAGAGTTTACAGCAGCAAAACACCTTGTGTTTATAGCTGACGACAGTTCATGCATAACATTTGTGCATTAAGGTAAGATGCAGTGCAGTTTCATTTTATTTCTACTGTATCAGCTGTTCATACAGTATGTGCATTTTCTGTTTGCGTTTATAATTGTATGCCAACAGTGGCCTAAGTTGCTTGTCTTTGTTTATTGGTAATAAGAGTGTAAATTTGCAATATATTGTTAAATATATGGCAATATATTATAATGATTGGCAAACTGCTGTCTCCATCCAGGTCCCTGGAGTTTAACCACAGAAAGTTATTGATTTTAAGAGGCTCTCCATGTCATCTCCCCATAGTCTGCTGCTCTGAGATCAAGTGTAAAACCGACCTGCTGTCATGTGTTGATGTATGTATTCCCTTTACTTCTGTCCTAGTATTCAACGTCTGTGGTTGACAAGACAATATAGAGAGAAGACTCTATATGAAGACTCTATAGAAGCATATGGAGTAAAATATCATCCAAGGTCTTTTTCAAGGAGGTCTTGTTACTGTAGGTCTGGCTTTATATACTGTTTTTATATAATAGAGCATGCAGATGTGCAGGGTCATGCTTACTTTATGATAATCTCACTTTATGATAATCTTAGGTCAGGTCACATGTCTATTTCACCTTTGGCCTCATTCCCGCTATTCAAAAGTAATGCATTTTGACAAAGGTTTAAGGGACTATGCTGTCTCTAAAGTAGATATCATCAAAGAAATAATGGTTACCACATCAATTATACCTTTAAACCCCGTTTAAAGATATTCTAACCCTGATTAAAATCAATATAGAAACGTATTTAGAGGTCAGTGCTCTAAAATGTATTCGATAATAAGTCCTTGCATTGTTTTTAGTGTTTTTGGCTTTCTCATAAATCTCCCTCTTCCCTTGACATGCTGTGCTGCAGAAGAGAAATCTATCCTGTGATATTTTTGCACACTGAGTCATTATGGTCCGTCTAACAGTGCATCTGATCGCAAAATCAAGCAATTACTCAAAAACCTGCAGAAGTGAATCTCTCCAGCAGTATCTGAAGAAACTGACCCATCTCAGCTTCTCAAACAAAAGTATAGAGGAAATTGTACATTTTGAGTTCATATATATCAAAATTCTATTCAATATTCTAGTTTCCATTAAATTAAATATTACAGTACCATTCAAATGTTTGAGGTCAATAAGATTTTTGATGCTTTTTTAAGATGCTTTTATTCAGCATAGATGCATTAAATTGATCAAAAGTGACAGTAAAAAAATATATATTCATCAAAAACTCTTGAAAATGTATCACAGTTTCACACAAAAAATACACACACACACACACACACACACACACATATATATATATACTAAGCACCACAACTTTATAACATTGATAACAATAGGATTTCTTTTTCTTGAGCACTGAATCAGCATATTAGAATGATTTCTGAAGGATCATGTGACACTGAAGACTGGAGTAATGACTGCTGAAAATTTAGCTTTGCTCTCACTGGAATAAATTACATTTCAAAATACAGTATATTAAAACAGAAAACAGTAGCCTAATTTTAAATTGTAATAATATTTCACAATATTACTTTTTTAATGTATTTTTGATCAAATAAATACAGCCTTGGTGAGCATAAGAAACTTCTTTTAAAAACATCAAAAATAAAAATTATTGATTCCAAACTTTTGAGCAGTTTGTTTAATTATTATTTTTCCCCTTTTTAACTTATAGGATGATCTATCAAGGTGCAGAAACCTCACAGTCCTGTACCTATATGACAACCAAATATCACAAATCTGCAACTTGGGGTTTGCCTCAAACCTTACTCACTTATACATGCAAAATAACAATATATTTTGCATAGAGAACCTCTCTTCTCTGGATAAGCTCTCCAGACTGTAGGTATGTGAAAGCACAAGCATATTAACACATTCCTGCTTGCACTGAAATTTGAACTGTGACGTTAATGTTTTCCATTGAAAATATACATACAGCACTACTAAAAGGCCATGAGTGTTACCGCTAACTACTAATGTTTCTATATTTGAGGTTCTTGGGAGGAAACAGCATCACTGTGGTGGAGGGATTAGATGAGCTGAAAAGCCTGAAGGAGCTGCATGTGGAAGGTCAGAAACTACCCCGTGGAGAAAAACTGGTCTTTGACCCCCGTTCTATATCTAGCCTCTCTGTGAGTAGCTCGTCGCTTTAACATTCACCTCAGTGAAAAGCCTTGCAGAGAGTGTTTCATGGTATCTACTGTACAATCTAGTGCACTTTATATTTAGATTGATATAGCACTGTGTCCTGTGAGTTTGCTGTCAGAATCAGATGAGAGACGTAGGACTTATGGACCAAGATGTGTATTAAAGTAGTTCTGTGCAAAATTTGATGAGGGTAAAAGAGGTCTCTGTGGCTGCCTCCTTGTCTGACAAATCAGCAGGGAGTGTTAACTGCCAAGGCTATGGGAAAACAAACCAAAAGTTGGGAATTTTGTTTATTTTGATCATTAATGTAATTACAAAAAATGTAAGTGCACCGAATTTTTTCCCTGCCAAAAGATTCCTAAATGCTCTCCTTTTACTAACACAGTGATACAGGTTTTAAATGAAAAGTGCATTATGAATTATATTAATATTGTATTTGAATTCTTTCAGGAAACTCTGTGCATTTTAAATATCAGCAAAAATAACATTGACGAAATATGGGACTTGGCCCCTCTCAGAAAACTGACCCATCTTTATGCTACCGATAACCAGCTACAGGACATACATGTAAATATGATTTTCTCCATAAAAAAAGATACATATAAAGAATTTTTTTGTTCTGTTTAGACATGACAAAGTTGTATGTTTCTATGAAGTGTGAAATGATACAGGGAGAGCCGTGCAAAAACCTAATCCTACAAATCCTTCCAGCAGTCTCCAGACTTGCACAGGGTCAGAATTATTCAACAAATCAGCGGGCCAGTCTCCAGGGACAGCTTCTGCTGACAATTTAAACAAGCACAAGTTTTCCTCCTTCCTTAGTGAACTGATTTTCCTCTGAAATACACTGAGTGCCCCTTATAACTTCAGTCTTGTATTAAAAACCCATTTGAGCCAAACATTTAGTGAAACTAAAGCTGAAAAGTAACCTTTTCTGGAAAAGTGATTTCAGTCTATTGATATCACACATTCAGTGACTAAAAAAATTGGTTAAGGAACACTTTCCGAAAACCACTGTGGAAAAGCAGCTTGGTAACTTTGTCCAACAGCTCAAAAGACAATCCTCTCAGCAACTGCCACCGATAATAGTGATCCATGTGTCAGAGGAAGCTTTCATGTTTAGCAGATATCTCCTTTAATTTATACAGCCCCTTTGCCACTATTGATTCAGCGGCGACAGCACCCAAAGGATCAATTCCTCCCTTACGCAGTTTGGTCCAATTCCAGAGGAAACATTATGGATTTTTAAAATAGATTATGACAGGCAGTCAGCCGGGTGACAAATGGGTACTGCAGAGGCTGTTAGTGGCACACGGCCAGACAGTGCTGATAGGGATCGAAGCGCTGGTCAAATACAGGTTCATAACTGGCCATCATTAACCCAGTGTGGGGCTGGAAAGAGCCCAGTCAGGAGTGCATTCAGCACTCCCGCGCTTGGGAGGGCAATTTGGCGCTGGGCAGTTCCCAGCCAAGCCCTCAGAGTGACAGACCTGACACGATCATTTATCAAAGCCTGAGAGCGCGGTCCCGCTAGAGCTGATTGCACGCGGACTGAAAAGTGGAAGCACTTTAGTTGAGACAGGAAGGCAATGAACAATCAGAGCGTGTCCAGAGAGTATTCATATTTCCAGCCTGGATTAATGTGTCCTTAGATAAACATACACTGCAGGCAACATGCTTGAGGACTACTGCCCAGGGGAACTTGTTAGTCACGCAGTCCGAGTGACAGTATTTATTAAAACAAGCTGATGTCTTGTTTAAACTTTTTGCCCTCTGATTTAAAAAAAATATATTTTTATGCTTTGTCTTAAATATGATGCCCTGATCATTTTTAACCATGCACATCTTCTGTGAAATCTGCAAAATCTCTTTAGTGTTACAAGATTTTTCCAGCATTCAACAGCATTTTTTGAAAATTTGGAGAAGATGCTACTGTCCTTTACTGTGTCTAATAATTATTTTTATTTTATACTGATTAACAGTAAAATGTAATGCCTTTATTTATGCTTTCAGGAGTTAGAGACAGTGTTCAGCCAATGGTCTCAGCTGCGGCTACTGGATCTGAATAGAAATCCTGTGTGTCACAAACCTAAATACAGAGAAATAGCATAGCTAACTTGTGATGAGTATGTAGTAGGGCAGTCAAAATAAAAGTTTGTGTTTACATAATTAATACTGTGTATTTTAATATGTACAAATACACACACATGCATGTATATATTTAAGAAATATATGTAATATATATTTATATATAATATAAATCATATATAAATATGAATATATATATATATATATATATATACACAAGTAAATATTTCTTAAATATATACAAGTGTGTGTGTATTTATATATACATATAAAAATACACAATACACACACATAAATTATTTTAAAACAAACTTTTATTTTGGATGTGATTTTTCGATTTGACAGCCCTAGTATGGAGTTAAAATGTTATTATTTATGGTGAAAGAATCACTGACCTTCTGAATAACTCTGAATTACCTTTTTGTCCTTCATTACGTAATTTAATTATTTTTTTTAATTCTTGTCATTTATTTTGTTACTTTATATTTTATTGTATTGTTATTGTATTGCATGTATTTTTGTATTTATCATTTTTACTAACGTTTCAATGATATTTAACATTTTAATAAGTTATTTTTGTACTGTGTTTATGAATTTTATAAAATGATTTAGTGAAATGCACAGAAACTGTATGTTTTTCTTGATATTTAGAAGATCTTGATGGAAAACAAATAAATGAGCTGTCTAGGCAGTTTCTAATCAACTGGAAAGCTTCAAAAGATGCAAAGAAGAAACTAGATGATGGAAAAGACATCAAAGAACAAATCGCAAATCCACTTACAAGTATGAATATTTGCTGCTTTTTTTCTACAGTTTTCTTTATATTTTTTATTAAATTATTTACAATTATTTACATTAATGAATTATAGAAACTTAAAATAAATGTTAAATATGTTAAGTATATGACTTTATATAAAAGTGCCCTAACATGTCAATGTTATTTCATTTACTGAATTTCTTTGCTGAGTACATTGCAGTGACACTTTCATTTTGTTCTCTAATTTTCCAGTCATTTACAGTATCTTCAAGATTTTCTTTCTCTTAACACATTTCTGCATTCTGCCATTGTATATCATCAGCATGTGGTTAAGTAAGCCTTGCATATCCCTTGTGTCAGTTCTATGACAATGAGTGACTAACCCGGGTTTTGCTGTAGCTGATTTTCGCGTGGGCCCCCAACATCCCTTTGCCCATGAACGCAGCAGCTCTCTGAGTAAGCCGTCAGAATATGGGAAGCCCGGCGTTACATTTCGACTACATGGAGACAGCAGAGGAAAAAGGTATGAACAATCAAAATGTCTACTGAGCTGTTAACAAGACTCTCTTATTCTTTACATAATCTGGGGCCAATTAAAATTTTTCCATTTTTTATTATTATTATTATTTTATCAAATACTTACAAATCGTGTTATATTTAAAAAAGGAAATAAATTCTGAGATACATGCTATCAGAGTAAAGTTGCAGGTTGCCCTCAGGGATGCTGGATAAATGCCTGCTATTTGTCAAGTTGTAGGATTCTTATTTTCCCACCCATGCAAATGAACTGATTTCTCCTTTAGAACTGGCCTGAGGTTAACCATAGTTCTGTGCTGCGCTGTGTAATGTGACATCATCTACAGTTGCACTGCACAAATCATACCCCTTTGATGTCTGACGTCCTAAACATGTTAATCCTATATAGCTATCATCTCAGTTGATTTATCAGTGTGTGGCCTTTGAAATGCAGAAATGATTTGTTGATGTAGTTACAATAAATATGAACTGAATGTTTCTGTACTTATAAGAAAAAACTCTTTTGAGCATGAGTACTAATGTGTGAGTAATAGGAATGATAATGCTCAATGACAGTTGTGTAAAGCCCTAATTAGCTGTTTACTATTTTATTACAGGGGTGCAGTAACAGACGATTAGTGATAATTTACAGAAGCATATTTTAAACCGTGTGTGCCAGCATTTTATTATGTTCATGGCTGTTTTTATTACTATAAATAAAAACACAAAAGCATGAAAGTAAACAAATAGTATGTCAACAAATATTTATGGCATTTAATTTAATTTATTCCATTTAATTCATGACTGTTCTGGTGTGTTCACAGGTCAAGAGGGATAAACATTCCAGTGAGGACTGGTAGACTCTGAAAATCTGAAACTACTGTTTAAAAATGTGAATTTCTGAGCAGCTTCTCCATCGTGCAACAATATACTCTCTTTTACACTGCCTAATTTGCATCTTCATATTCTGTTTGAAATTCTGAACTTTTTAAAATATTTGTCTTGTTTTTAATAAATTTACTAGATGTTGAAGAGTATTTTTAAATACCATCATGTTTTGTACATTATTCTTTGGGATGCAAAGATACATACATTAGGTAATATTATTCATTAAACATAATAAGAATATTGAATAGATTTCATTTTTTTCCAGTTACATTAGGTAAGAGCAAAATCTCAAAGTGAGATTTTATGTCAATGAAAATGCCTGTGAAAGTGTAGACTACTACATCTGTAGTTACATTTTCTGTTTTTTTTTTTTTAGGTTTGATGCTGCTTTTTAGTTATTTGTTAATTACGTCATCAAACATACTTTTTGATTGTTTTGGGTATTTTTCATGTTTTTTATATTTTTTCATATTTATTATATTTCTCTGTTCAGGAGTATTTTAACAAATTAATGCTCCAATCTCACTGCATCATGCTTTAATTTAGCTAATGAAATGATCTAATTTAAAGCATTCAATTACTAATTTAAAAAGTAAAAAAGTCGTTTACATTCAAAACTAATTGTAGATTTATCATTTAGATTTATAGCTACCTTTTTTTTATTTTTTTTTTATTTTACTGAGATTTCATTTCAACTTGCACATTATCCAGCAAGCTTATCAACATCATGGACACTGCGTTCTAGACTGGAACGGTAAATTCATATGAAATATAAAACTGATTTTATAATAATGTTTAGACATATATGCGCGCAGAGTACAGTAATGCATGAATGCAATTCCTGCGTATTTGGGTGAGTCTAATATCTACACCAGGGTAGCCTATAACCTCTGAAAGATGTAGAGTAATTAGACAGAGAAGCTTACTTAACCTCATTTGCTCTGCTTCATAATTATTGGCCTGGGGGCAATACTGTTACTTCATCCTTACAAAAACAATGTTCATTAAGAACAGTCTCAGATATACATGTTATGAATAATTCCATTCATTAATTCTCCCACATCTCCGTTTGCGGCAAACCGAGTGATTAATTTAGGAGTCTCACAAGAATTTCCTCAAGCATGCCAGTTGATTGCAGTGTTTAGAGTTTATTTACTGGCTTTGTCCCAGGAAATTAAGCTGATGTCTGCGGCTCAAAATTATAATATCAATATCCATTTTAAAATGTTAAAGAAGAGTTAAATTGTCGAGAGCACCGTGCAGTTGATCTGATAGAATCTGTTTGGCAGCTTGAAAATGATTATATTGTTGAATGCTTGGGTCTCACAAACCACATACATTTTCATCAAACAAAGCAAATCAATGGGAATAACGTATTTACTTCTTGAATAAACAATATTTCATATATTCAGAAGCTGTGGTTTGCAAAACAACTTTGGGTGGACCAAAAAATGCTGCCTCTGGCGTCGGAAAATGGACTGTGCCCTCCTATACCGACCGATGCGAAGGGAAAACAGTAGAGAACGGCTCGAGTTGCCAGAGTTTTAAAGGCTTTTGATTAATTGCACCGGAGTGAAACACTTGTCAGCTCTTTGTGTTCCCCGATAAATTAGAGGCTCAGGAGACTACGCAGTCATTCAGGTGAGGACGCTGAGTGTGCGCGGACATATATCCGTACCTTTCACGCGCAGCACCGCGACTGGTTATATATATTTTTGCAACGAGAGGGACTATTATTTTAAACAGGATTTTTACCGAGCTGTGGAGCTTTTCATCCCTAGATGTGTTTTTAGGACAACACTTTTAACAACAATAATACAGGTATGTTTTTTTACATGTTAATAACTTCTCATAACAATGCAATCTACAATTATACTTAAAATGGTTGTATTAAAACTGCATGTTCTTGGCCGAAATAATTTAGCCTAATGACAATCATAAACACTGTAGGCGTTAATTATTTATTGTTTTGACACTGAATGACTCATACTGGCCATGAGATTTTTGGCTCACTTGAGGAAAATGTTTTTACAAAAGTTTTGATGAGTGCATAGGCTTAAACCTGTTTTTGACCAGTTTTTTTTTTTTTTAATGTACTGTTTTAACCAGGTTAAGAAGTGATTTCAATGGTTGGAAGACAGTCGATCCATATGGATGGCATTGGTTCTGTGACAGTTATGGATGACAGTCCCGCATCAAGCCCTAACTCGAGCCCCAGTCCTGACACGCTCTCAGCGGACAGCCGGCGCATAGAAGCCCTGTCCCACTCCACGGTGGTCCCGTCTAGTGGCCTCGGTGGCAGAGGAAAACCTGCGGCAGCCAACGCAGCGCGCGAAAGGAGTCGCGTGCAGACGCTCAGACATGCGTTCCTCGAGCTACAGAGAACATTGCCGTCGGTGCCCCCGGACACCAAACTCTCCAAACTCGACGTATTGATATTGGCAACCACATACATAGCGCATTTAACAAGAACCTTGCAAGAGGAAGGGACGGAAGAGGACAACACAAAACAAACTGAAGCTTTGAACTCACTTAAGGGAGATGGCTACTTACATCCTGTGAAAGTAAGTCGCATTATATTTTAGCATGAAATAGAAGCCGAAAATATTGCAAATGTGAGATTTTTTTACATTTTAATTCATTTAAAACATTTGTATTTAGTCTTTAAAAGTTTTGATTAGGAGACTTTAAGGTTAAGGTTTAGTCTGCTTGAAAATATCCACTTTACGCATGACAATTCATTTTTTAAAAGAGTTGATTAAGTGTTTCTATTAATCGCTTTTGTCTTTCAGAAATGGCCAATGCGTTCAAGATTATATATCGGTGCCACTGGCCAGTTCCTGGGGAACTCAAATGAAAATCAAGGGGCATCTTCGTCATCATCTCAAACATAGAGCGTTTGCACATAAGACTTTTGGAGATAATGATTAAAAAATAGAGTTGTTGTTTTAGTAATTTTGTTGCAGTCTGTAAAAATTAACAAAGATGTTTTATGCGGCAAATTAAGCAAATTCATTGAAATGGTTATCATTATTGTGCCATGACAACTGAGTATTGTGCATATTAATATATCCTAATTATTTCAAATATGTAAATAAGATTAAAATATTAAACAAATTGTGTTCTTTTTAACTGTGGGTTTCTGCAGTTATGTACTTGTACTTTGTCTGAAGTTCCGTGTGTTGGGTTAATGAGCTGTTATGCTTGAGCTGTCGGTTATGCACTTTCTGTAACAACATTCGTCGTGAAGTGGTCTGTCAGAATCGCAACAATAGCATAATCACCCCCTTTTCTCCTCCCTTCCCTCCTTCACGTGGAATAGTAAATAAAATCATTCTTAAAAATTACACTGATCTCAAGTTTATTATTAATGTTATTATTAGCAATGCTTTTCTAAACCCTTCACAGTGTGCAATAGGTGTAATGTGTTCCCAACATAAACGTTATAATTAAAATAGGCCTATTTGACATGCACTGAATATTTTTAATATCGAAGATTTTAATTCATTTTTAATTATTGTCTTAATTTACAGTTCTAATATATCTCATGTGATGGCAGCATGCTGTGCATTTGCTCATGGAAACATTTTAAAAACCTTTAAAACTCTTAATCAGGATGTCACTGAAAGTCTGTGGGAAGTACTGAATAATGTCAACTCTGTAAAGCCTTTTAAACCCTCTAAAGCAGGGGTGCCCAAACTCGGTCCTGGAGGGCCGGTGTCCTGCAGAGTTTAGCTCCGGCTTGCCTCAACACACCTGCCTGGAAGTTTCTATGCCTAGTAAGAGCTTGATTAGCTGCTTCAGGTGTGTTTAATTAGGGTTGGAGCTAAACTCTGCAGGACACCGGCCCTCCAGGACCGAGTTTGGGCACCCCTGCTCTAAAGAGGTTTAAAAGTGTAGGCTTTAGATTTAAAGTTTATATACCAGAGCATACTGATCTAAATAGGCTAATATGTGCACTAAATGGATCATCTTTATCTATTTATTTAAATGTTTCTCTCTCTGTTTACTGTAATGTATACTTTGAACTGAATATGCTTGAGAGAGGCAAACTATTTGAATAGGATTATTAAATGCACGGGTTTGGACTTTTATTTAGACGTTTAAGTTTTGTAATTTCATAAGGTTTTTCACTGTTGGGAGCGCTCTAGACATATATTTAAAAAAAAAAATACTCTCTTGATAGTGCTTTAAATATAAACGTGTCATAAACGTATGCAAGATTTAAGCACTTCCAGCCACCTGTAAGTGTTTTATCACACTTGACTATAGCGCATCAAGACTTCAGTAAAACCCAACACGCATGCGCTGCTCCTACTAGGAAGTTGCCCTTTAAAACGCGAAGTACGCATGCGCCACATCCTTTCTTCCCAAGAGCGGAAGGAGCTGGTCGCACATTTTACACGTTGCAGTATAACTTGAGGTAAATGTACTTCGATTAATTATTGTGTTGATGCATTTTAACAGAAGTAAAAGTATTATCGCAGATATTGGTAGAACTGTTCATGAGGTTATAGGCTCGTGTAGAGGTTTTTGCATCCGGGCTTTGCCACGTGGTTAGTCAGCACGCGCGAGAATAATTTATAAAATACGTTACTTACTTGCTACATCGTTCCGTAGAAACACAATTAGTCTTTATTAACTGGAATTTGAAGCATTCTTGTTTTATCAATCCCAAGCATTATCATGAATCGTTAGGAACGAGTCGCTCTATGTAACATGAGTGGCATAATGAGGATCCTTGCATTACCTGGAGGGGGAAAAAGTCTTAGTAAATTTTACTTCCAAGTAGAGACCTGCACTCCCGCGGGAGTACCGAGGGACCCAACGTAACGGTGCGGCGCGGGACAACTCTTGATGTGCGGGTGCGGGCGGGGGTGGGAAGAGACTTGTGTGTGGGATGGAGAATAAAATGATTCGCGGGACTCCCGC